ATTAAGGCTGAAAGTTTCACTGAATTGAAGAATTGTCTCTTTGTTTGTTTGTGCTTTTTGTTTGCTTGTTTGTTTTTTTGTTTGTTTTGGCATCAGGGATCAAACTCATAACCTCACACTTGCCAGGCAAGCACTTGTGCTGCTGAGCTAAACCCCTAACCCCAAAGAATTGACTCTTTAAAAGGGTAAACAAGATTGATAAAAGTCTTAGCCAAACTTACTAAAGAAAGAAAAATTCATATCATTGCAATTCATTTTACTAGAAACGAAAGAGACAAAACTAAAATGGACAAGAACAAATTCCAGAGAAGAAACTAATTCAAACTTTATATTTCATTGTATTGGATAATCTTAAAAACTGAATAAATTCTTAGGCACATATAACCTATCAAAACTGAACCAAGTGGGATAGCTGGAACAAATGGGACTTCTAATCCCAGCTGACCTCCATAATGGTTGCACCAGACTACACTCCCTTTTCTGCAGGAGAGTTCTCTTTTCCCCACAGCCTCTCCAGCATTTGTTGTTGGTAGTTTTCTTGATCCTGGCCATTCTTTCAGGAGTGAGATGGAATCTCAGTGTGGTTTTAATTTGCATTTCTCTAATGACCAATGATGATGAACATTTTTTCATGTATTTATTTGCCATTTGTATTTCTTCATCTGAGAAGTGTGTATTCATTTCAGATGCCCATTTTTGGATTGGGTCTTTGAATTTTGGGGGTCTGATTTTTTTAATTCTTTATATGTTTTAGACAGAAGACCTTTGTCTGAGGGACAGTTTACTAAGATTTTTTCCCAGTTTGTGGGTTTTCTTTTCACTATGCTGGAGATTTCTTTTGACATGCAGAAATTTTTTAATAAGACATGATCCCCGCTATTGATTCTAGGAAGTATTTCCCATGCGGTTTGATTCCTGTTCATGAATTCTCTACCCACCCCTATGTCTTCAAGATTTTTACCTAATTTGTCTTCCAACAGATTTAGTGTTTCTGTTTTAATATTCAGATTCTTGATCCATTTAGATTTTAGTTTAGTATATGGTGATGGGCATGGGTCTAGTTTTAGTTTTTGGCATGTAAAGAGCCAGTTTTTCCAACATCATTTATTAAAGAGACTGTCGTTCTTCCATGAACATGTTTGGTCCACTTCTAGACATATTCCAGGAGGAACTGAAAACATCATACCACAGTAATATATGTGCACCCATGTTTATAGCAGCACCATTTGTAATAGCCAGATCTTGGAAACAACCTAAGTGTCCATCAACTGAGGAATGGATAAAAAAGTTGTGGTATTTTTATACAAGGGAGTACTACTCAGCTATAAAGAATGATCATGTTGATATATTTATAAATAAATGGACTCAACTTGAGACCATACTCATAAGTGAAATAAATCAAACTCACATGTATAAATACCATGTAGTCTCCCTAGTGTAAGAAATGGTAAGAGTATGTAAGAGTTTATAGTAATCGTGATTCCCCATTACATTGCTCTGAAGCCTTATAATGTCTGCATTCATTAGTTGGAATGGTTTTATCCTAGTTTGTTTGATTTTAATATCTGTGTTAGTATCAACAGCTACTTTAAAGAAAATAAGACATTAGAATAGCCAATGCTGATTTAGTATCATCTTACTCTGAAGTCCTACTATTCTTTTGTTTTATCTCATTGATATAATTGTGATAGTATAAACAAATTTTCTATGGAAAATGAGATAATATAGTAGCCATTGTTTGTACTCTGCTATTTGGTACTGAAAGCCCTGTAATGCTTTCATTCTCTTAAATGGTTTTATACCATTTTGTTATGTTTGATACTATCATATATGAAGCTATGTTCAACTATTTCAAAGAAAGAGACATTATGGTAGTTACTGTTAATTATGGGTTGTCTTGTGGTAAAGTGCTGTGTTACTTGCATTGTTCTGATCTGATCTGCTTTGTTATGTCCTCTTTTATCTTAATCTCTTTAAAATAAAAAATTTAAAAACTGAACCAAGAAGATATAAAAATCCTGAATAAATGAACAACAGGGAGCAAAATAGATATAGTAATAAAAAATTATGAACAAAATATAAAAACCAGAAGCTGATTAATTCACCACTGACTTTTACCAGAGCATAAGGGAAGAAATAATGCCAATATTCCTCACACTCTCCTTGAAATTGAAAGGAAAGAAACACCACCAAACCCATTACTTCAAACCAGCATCACTGTGATTCTGAAAGTAGAAAAGGACTCAAAGAAAAACTACAGACAATTTTGTAAATGAATATAAACTCAAAAGTCCTGAAAAAGATGCTTGCAAATACAATGCAACAAATCATTAAAAAAATCACACACCATGACCAAGTAGCCTTTATCCCAGGGATGCAAGAATGGGTCAACATACACAAACCAATAAAGGTGTCCGTCATGTGAACAGAAGCAACAACAGAAAGCATCTCCTTAGTCATCTTAATAGGTGCAGAAAAAGCCTTTGACAAAGTCCAACATCCATTCACATTAAGAAGGATTCTGAAGAAAATAGGTACAGAAGAACCATATCTCAGTCTGATAAAAGCCATTATAGAAAAGTCCACAAATACAGCAACCTCTGTGATATTTAGAATTAAGCAAAGCCACAAAACTTCTTCTGTTTGTGTACAAGTTTACATAACATCATATTAAATAGAGACCAACAGAAAGCATTCTCTCAAAAATCACCAGAAGACATACCTGTTCACCCTCACCATTCCTGTTCAATATGGTCCTGAAAACTTTAGGTAGAACAGTCAAGCAAGTAGAAGACATTAAAGGGATGGCATTCAAAGAATAAATAATTCAAACTATTCTTTTTTTTTTTTTTGGTCTTTTTCCTTTTTTATCAGTACCAGGGATCGAACTTACGACTGCCTGCTTGCAAGGCAGGCGCTTATGCCACTGAGCTAAATCCCCAGCCCCTAATTCAAACTATTCTTATTTGCTGGTGATACAATCTTTTATAAGGAAAAGATCCAAAACAAAAAAATCCAGCAGAGGACTCTTAGAACCAATGAACAAATTCAGCAAAACAGCAGGCTCCAAAGCCAACACAGCAATGAAGTGTTCCTCCACAGCATAATAAACACACTAAGAAAGAAATAAAATTTTAAAACTCACACACAAAAGCTTCAAAAATTTAAATAGGAAATACTGGAGCCAAGGAAGCAAATGCCTCTTTAACAAAGATGATACTGCTCTGAAAAAAGAGATTAAAGAAGACATTAGAAAATGGGGGAAATTCCCTGTTCTCATTAGAAAAATGTTAATTAAAACAACACTCAGATTCCATCTTACTTCAGGGAAGAATGGCTGTCATCAGTGAATCAAATAATAGCAAATACTAGTGAAGCTGGGAGAAAGGATTTCTACATTGTCAAAATCAGAACAGATTCCTCAAAAAGAAAAAACTACAACTAGAAATTTTATTCAACTGTATTTTCCTTCCAAGTATCTTCCTGAGAGATTCAAAGTTATATTAGAGTGCTACATGTCTACCCACAACTTCTGTTAGCCAAATACTAGAAGCTGCCTATAAATATATCAACAGATGAATAAATAAAGTGTGGCATTTATATACAATGGAGTACTACTTTGCCTTAAAGAAAAATCTGAGTCATTTGTGGGGAAACAGATTCGCCTTGATATCATATTATATGGAATAAATCCAATATGGAACTTAAAATATCACACAAATTCTCTTATATGAGAAACCCAGACTATGAATAATTTAAATATCTGAAGAAAACACAGACAACAGGAAATTTAAGACACCTTTATCTGAATGCAGAACAGATTTATAAATCATGATACACAAGTTCAGTCTATATTTTGAAGCCTATAAAGATTGGTTTTGTTTGTGTAGTTTTGTGGCTTTGCTTCATTCTAAATATCACAGCAGTTATTGTATATGTGGACTTTTCTACAATCTAGTGAGAAGACAGACAATATCTATCTACCAAAACTGAGTATATGCAAAGTCTGTGACCTAGAAATTCCACTCCTAGTATCAAGCCTCAGAAATGCCACCATCCTGAAATGCTGTACAGTTTTATTTACTTTCACAATGTACTTTGCTGCCTTCTAGATCATTTATTTTGCAACACATTACTGCATGGATGTAAATAACTTATGTACTGTAGCACCATTTTCAGTTATGTATAAAGAAATAAACAGTTAAAATACTCTTTATAAAAAGAAAAGGCATGCCACCATATCTGCCTTTAAAAAAAAAAAAAAAACATGCAGGAACGTTCACCAGCAGCACTACTTGTGAGAGCCAAAACCTGGAAATTATAAAGATCTTATTCCTTAGCAGAATAGTCAAAGATATATTTCCATTGTAACAGTGTGTAGCTGAGAGTGGTAAACTACAATTGAACTGACACAAAGTTGAAAACAAGCGCCAAGATTTTGCTTTTAGACGGGCAGCTGGAGAATATCCTTTCTGAGATAGTGACTGGCAGTGCCTGGAATGTTATTGTGTTCTTTTCTTGGTGTGGATGCTTGTTAAACAGGCATATGAAATACATAAAATCATCAGGATGTCTATTCAAGATTTATACCCTTTCCTATTTTTATTTTAGACTTCAGAAAATGTTCTTAAAATATATTTAGCCTTAAAGTGGTGGCACACACGTGCAATCCCATCACTCAGGAGGCTGAGGCAAGGAAGACTGCTGTGAGTTTGAGGTCAGCCTGGGCTACAAAGTGAGTTCAAGGCCAGTCTAAACTATATAGTGAAAACTTGTCTCAAAAAAAAAAAAGATACCTTTGTTAAGTAACAAATTAATGAAAAACAAAAAGTATGCAAGACAAGAAATTTAAGAAAGTATTTCTATAGCAAAGGTGATAAAGGGGAACACAATGGACACAGAAGTACTGAGAGGCTGAAAGCATCATTTTAATAAGACGAGGTCCTTGAGAAGATCCGAAGAGCCAGAGGGAATCAGCAGGGGCTGTCAGATACTCACAACTACCCAACCAAGGAGGGCAAATCCCGTTTGCTTACACAGCACGCAAAGACGGAATTACAGTAAATATGATACACTTCATTTTTCGCACAAAATATCTTGCAAGTGCCTTTCATTCGCCAACAAGAGCCAAACATTCGGTTTATGTAAAGATTCGGTCCACTTCTAACTGTCAACAGAAACAAAGATTGAGGTCCCATGAGTGTCCTGTAATGTCATATGGCCCAAGATAGATCAAACGTGGAGCTACACTTTATAACTTTGAATAGTAAATTCAGCATAATCAAAGATATCCAAAATGTTTCATGACTGCATGCGTGCCTCCTTTCCAATTGCTGCTACCTTATTTTTCAAGAGCCATACTCTTAGCTCCCATGAATCACCGATACTAATCAGTTATTTGCAGGCAACAGATCCTAATGGACTCAGCATGGGATGAGTTACTAAGGAAAGATCATGCAGACATAACAGAAGTCTGAGGAGTCCAACAATTCCCCCTGAGCAGGAGATGTCATAGAGAATCCGCTTTGAATACCTAAGGAAGTTTGTAATTATTAGTGTCAGTGCAAAGAAAGCAAGAGCACCAAGATAGAATTTCAGAAGACCACAGTCCTAGCCCTGTATTCCCCCAATATTTCATGTCATTTTTTTCTAAGTGCATCCACATCTGTCATGGCTTAACCATAGGGTATATATGAGCACTCTATCAGATAATGAGTATGAAGTGGTTTGATTTCCAGATATCTTCTGGGAATCCATATCCAAATGTCTTGCTAGTAATTTTCTGAGACATTAAACATAGATGCCTCTGGAAACCAGAGGAAAAGGAGAGGAAAGAAGGCAGTTTGTGAGTCTAAGGGTGGCCCTGATTCCCTCTACTCTTGTGTGCTAAGCCTTATTGGGCTCCCCACTACCTGCCCGCATGGGACCATGGATTGGCTGAGTCTCTGTGATATGAAAGTAATCAATGTGTGAATATAATAAATGTGAGGCCAATGGCAAATAAATTTGCTGAAAGCTGTGCTTTCAGCAGCTCTGGGGACCTCTCTAGAGACAAAGGAACCCAGCACAGATACAATCTGAAATATCCAGAGACCTTTCCCCACACAGCAGCAACAGCAGCCTCAACACGACCCTCGTCTCTTTCTGTCTTTACTCCATAGATGGCCACTACTCAGTGACACCTTTTGAATAGGAAGGTTTGAGGCAGGAGGTAGGAGCTTCCTGCAGACTTCAGAAACCATGCATTTGATGGTATAAGTGGTCTCTCCTCACTATCAAGTTACTTGCTTCTGTCCAGAAACACAAATTCTGACTCTTCAGACAGAGAGGCCACAAAATCCCAAAATTGTGTCATTTAATTGAATACATTTTAACAATCTGCCCCATTTGAAGACTTGCCTTGGCCTCTGAATGAGTGAAAATTTTCATGGCTGGCTTGGAAGCCAACTTCCAAGGGTCTTCCAGAAACAGGCTCCCTGCCACCCCCAAGTCCTACCTGTGTTCTAAGGTTTCATCCACTTGCTCTGCCCCATTTCTGCAAATATCAGTCCAAACTTGCCTGCAACCTTTACAGAATTTTAATACCCAAACCAAGAAACAGCTTCTCAACTGAAGAGAACCACTTCCTGTTACATATTCTTAGCATCTTCTCTCCATTCCTAGGACCGGCAAAGAGCATCCCTCTGTTCACGCTGATCTATCTACTCAGCTCCTTTGTCCCAGGATTGCTCTTGTTTCTCTCACAGAACTTTATACCCCTTTCCCTTTGCTGTTCCTAACTCCATGGAAAAAAGAATCAGTTTTTACCTGGTGGAACATAGGACAGCAAGAAAAGAACCACAAAGACCAAGAGTAGACCCTTCATGACTAAACCAATCAGCAAGCAGGTATCTGAGATGTAAGGGAGACTCACCCTATATGTAGCTTTTGAGAGATGGGGAGGTGCATGGCTAGTGAACCTTTAGGAACAAGAACATCTCCTTGCTCCATTGAGCAGTCCAATAAGTGAAAGGTCTGATTTTGAGCATGACATCTCACCACCAAATACACTTGCTAGATGCCACTAGCAACTAATCCACACTTATAAACAGCCCAGTAGTATGGATGTCTTTGTATCTTCTTTGTACACTCATATACTCATTGAATAAATGCCTATCATGGCTAATTACTGTAAGACCACTTGATGTCTTTTGAAAGACTTTTATGATAGTTGTTTTTTATCTAAACACGCCCCTAAAAAAACCCTCAGGTATTTTTCTTCCTAATTAAAAAAAAAAATGACATAGTCTTCAGTGAAACAAGTAACTTTCCTGTTGGGAGCCGCGGCCGACACCGGTCGCCTTACTTGGCGGACGTAGGGCCTGTGGGTGGGAGCGGAGCCTGAGCTAGATTGCCCCTCCCATCGAGTGAGCCAAGTTGGTGCCTGCTTCCTGCCCCCTGATTGCGCTGGCGACTTAAACAACCCGCTCTGTAAGATAGTCTGCCTAGCAACAACTGATGTTAGCCAATCAGCCCGCATCGCGCGCTTTAAACTGATTGGCCACTGTTACCCTATAAAAGTAAATGCCTCTCCCGCCACGAGAGAGAAGCACAGAAAAAAAGCACAGAGAGATAGAGAAAGTCCACCGGCGAGAAAGGGCTGGTGGCAGAGTGGAGGCCTCGCGGGGCCCACGCGGAGACAAATAAAGGCAAGGTTACACACCGTCAGAATCTGTCACGTGTTCTTCCTGCAGGCTGGGAGCGACACCGACACTTTCCTAAGTTCATGAAATCATAAATAGCAGCATGACAACTTACACACAGGTTTTCCTGACTGCTGTACACACGTGGATTAAAGTACAGCCTCGATCCATTCTAGTGTAACTGCAATCTCTGTAGGGAAATCAGAGCTTCTCGGTGAGTTATGATTAATACATTGTGTCAACTTGAGAAGTTTAGAAGCTTAACTACCAGACTTAGCAGGAAGCCAGGATTCTTACCTTGTGAATATCCTCATCCTGTGCAAGAAGAGGGCACAGAGATTTTGTGAGTGCTACACCTGCCCTGGAGGGCAGTTAGCCTGCTTGTGTTATGAGGGAGGAAAAGAGGCTTGTTCTTCCCCCATTTTGCTCTGATTGCTTTTGCTTTTTTGCTGCCTTGAAGTGTTAACCCAATGTCCTGCCACCCTGTCTTGGAGCCAGCTGATTACGGACTGAAACTTCTAAAAACTTAAGCTAAGTGAACCTTTCCTTCCCTACTTTTTGGGTGTCAGGTGTTTTGTCTCAGCAATGAGAGAAAAGTACCCAGGACAGAATTGGTACCAGAAGAGTGGGATCATTGCTGTTACTGTACCTGACCAAGAGGTTCAAGAGCCTTTGGAAATGGCTTGTTGGAAGAGTTTGGAAAGCTTTGGAGATGTTGTCAGAAACAGTAGCCCTGGAACAGTTTAGGCTGTTCTGTATGGAAGTTTCTGGTCAGAGCTCAGAAGACCAGAAGGCTTGGTAGAAAGCCTGCCAGTAAAGCCCAGTCTTGGGAAGTTTCTGCTAGGAAGGACTGCACTGGGTGCTGAACTCCAGATGATGTGTGTTATGGCTTGTCTGTATTTTGTTCATGTTCAAAGACTTTGCCTGAGACTAAGATTAAGGACAGCGGACTAATTAACCTGGCAGAAGAAATTTCAAGGCAGTCAAATGTTGAGGCTGTGGCATGGTTATGGTTGGGGACTTTTAGCCAGACTTATGTTACGAACCAAGAGCAAAGAGCCCAGCAGGATGATTTAAAACATTGTGAGTTTGGCCAGAAAGTAAGCTCCAATAAAGCTGTGGACTGCAAAGAGAGAGCTGAGGAAATCTTGACTGTTGAAAGGAACAAGAGATTAAAAAGATGACCTGAAGGCATCACAAAAAGCAGCATGTCTCCCATATTTATAGCCTCAAACTTACAAAAGTGAAAGACTTTGCTTTGAGACAACAGCTGCAGGGCACCATGATCCAGAATCATGGCAGCATAGAGAATCTGTTCCTCAGAATCAGGTTCAGAGAGCTCAGTGATCCAGGCACTGGACCCCTACAGCCAGGAGAGAAGAAAGCCTGGCTACTGCTCCAGCTGACAGCAAACCTCAGCATCATCTATGCAGCACTGGTTTCTAGGTACATACAGAATGCACAAGTTCTGAGGTTAAAAAGGCTTCCACCGCAATTTCAGAAGGCTGGGGAGGCCAGGTAGTGTACCTCTGAGAGGGCAGTGTGTGAAGCTGTGAGCATGAAGTCAAAAATATAGTGGAGACCGGAGCAGTTTGGAAAACCCAGGAATGTGGGTCATCTAAGAAAAACTGCAGGAAAGAAGCAAAACTAGCCTAAAGAAAAAGCTGTGGGATCTGAAACCACCAGTAATGCCATAGGAGTGGAGTCACACAAGCCCTTTGGACCACACAATTTGCCACAGATTGCTTCAGATGCTGGGCATGCAACTGTAGTACTTAATGTTTGCCTTGCTGGATTTTGGACTTGCTTTTGCCCCGATCCTCTGTATCCCCCTGTTTGTATCTTTTGGAATAGAAATGTTTATCTTGCACCATTGCATGTTGGAATGGTCTTGTTTTCATTTGTACAGGTGCTTGCAGCTAAGGTTTGCCTTGCATCTCGGAGACTTGGGACTTGAACCTTTCAGCAATGCTAAAATTGTTAGGAGTTTGACACCCCTTGCAGATGGACTGAGTGCGTTTTGCATACAGGGGTGTGCATTTGTCTTCGGGGAGCCAATGACAAAACCTTCTGTTTCTAACGTGGTATGACGTTGATAGACTTAATGCTGGTTCTTAAGGATTTCAAAGCTGTGTTATAATGTTCAAGTTGAAAAATGTTAAAAATATGCATGTCTTGTATCTGAAAACTGATTTAAAGAAATTGGCAGATTACCAAGATGACAAGGGGTAGATTCATACATTGTATTATGGTTGATACGTAATGATGTGGTTTAGGTTACAGATCTGTGAAGGACTCATGAAAGAATTACAAAGCAGCAAATCAGAATGTAAAAGAAGGGTAGAACGCATGAGTTTGGAGAAGCCCAAGGGGGAATGATCAGGGCAGCATGATTGCACTGTGAGGGACGCTTCTGAAGCCCATTATCCAAGCAGAGGCATGAAGCTCAACTAAACTGTTTTCTCCCACTTGCGTGGTTCCAATATCTTCTCTAACCAGTCACACTAGTCTGCATTTCTGTCCTTCCACTGAGCCTTCCAGAGCCCCGGTTCCACTGTAAACATCTCCTTGTCTTCTTCCTGGGACACGGTTCCACCTCTGTGTCTCAGTGAAATGCTGAATTCTTCACTATAGACAGTTTCCTGGCAGCCTAGGTGGTTCAAGGCTGTTTGTCTGCCAAGGCCCCACACACCAGGGACAAGCAAGGAGCATTTCACAATCTCCTAACAGCCCTGTGCCATTTCCAGAACAATACCCGACACACTCCTGGTACCACACACTGCCTGCACCGAACTGGTCATCACACCGTGCTAACTGTGCCTCCCACATACAGTTAATTCACACCCATTTGTCCATCTCCATCTGCACTACTGCCGGTCAGTCCCAGCCATCACCATCTGCCACTAAACTAAGTAAAAGGCCTCCTAAACCCTTTCATTTACCATGTTTAGACAGTCACCACTCATGTTCAACTCAGTAACCAAAATGACCTTTATAACATTGAAATTGGATCACTCATTTGACTCTGTAAAACATTTCCACTGCTTCCTTTTGAGTAGAAACTGTGTAGTGTGAATCCTGGCTTGGTTCCTTGTCTCCTCTCCCCCATCAAATCTGTCTATTTCATTATTATTCTCACTGTATTACAAACTACTGACCTTTACTATTCTCAACTACTTATGGTCTCACTTGCTCAAGAGAGAAGTTCTGAGTCAAGGTATCAGCAGGACAGCTGTCAGAAAAGGGTCCGTCCTGCCTTCTCTCCCAGCTTCCAGTAGCCTCAGGCTTTCCTTGACTTGCAGACGGAGTTCCTACTTCATCGTCCTTTGTCTGTATGTGTCTGTGTCTTGCTTTGCTCTTTTTATGAGGATGGGGTCCTATTGGACCAGGGCCCACAAGAATGACTTCATTTAACTTCATCATCAGTAAAGACACTGTTTTCAAAGAATGCCATATCTATATATATATAGAGGAGGACGGGGCTTCAACATCTTTTAGTGGATGAAATTCAACCCATAATATCAGTCTTTAATCTTCCTGAGTGATATTAATGACCTAAATGCCATCACACTAACCAGCTATTTTCTAGAACACTATTCTTTTTTCTTTCATCATATCTACCCCAAATAAAAGCAATCTATGGGATTGCTTCTACTCGGGAGCTTTTGAAGGCCACTGGCAATGTCACATAACCCTGCGAGGAGACTGAATGCAGATAATAAGCCGTGTGTTCCTCTCACACCTTTCAGGTGCAGATGCCCTTTGCTCCCTCTCCAGCTGAGTTCCACCCATGCTGGGTACACATCATGGCTTCCTATTTCACAGAGAAAATTCTTGTCAGGAGCTTTCAACTCACTTTTCACCCCTTTCCCATTCTATTCACCCAACCAACAATCATACTCATGGAAGAGTAGATGTCAGTTTTCATCTTCAAGTCTTATCCCTACAACCATGCTCAAAACACTTTCCTACCCATCTCTTAGTTCTATTGCTTGTTAATCATCCCCTCTTTGGAACTGGGGGACTAGCTCAGCCATGTAAGTGCCTGCCAGGCAAGCATGAGGTCATGAGTTTGATCCCCAGTACTAAATAAAATAAAATAAAATAATCCCCTCTTTTATAAAAAGGTTTTTGTAAAATATATGCGAAAAGCTCAAAAGACTTGGAGAATTTCACAAATTAT